ACGTTATTTCCTTCCCCTACCAGCAGCTCCCTACATTACAAGGTGGCACCCAAGAAAGCAAAGCTTCAAAGCAAAACAAAAATATGTAATTCATCCCCTGAGATGGAGAACTTTAATTTTTGAAATGGAAGTAGGTTTGGTTTTTTTCCCCTCCTTGAGCAGAAAAAAAGCTGTCCATCCCCTCTGCTGGGCACGGCTTCTCTGGAGTTACTGCACTTGCACTTCATTTCACAAACTCGGCTCCAATCCCTGGAAACCCCAGTGCTCAGTACGCCCATCTCCAGCGATGCCATCAAGGCCAGAGCTCCCTTCCATCGTGCTCGGCACGTTGGAATCTGCCTGTGTCCTGACCACCCCCGTGCCTGGCTGGAGCAGATCAGAAGGTTTAACACCTCTTGGCTTTATGCTGAAGCTTGCTCCTGCTGGTGCAAGAAAAAGTGTCATTAATCTCTACTAAACCTAGATGCCTGAAGCAGAATGGACTTAACTCACTGAAAGAGGAACGATGAGCACAGCTTCTGGTGAGGGTCAAAACAGAGGTACCATTTTGTTTTTTCAAGAGATGCTGTAGAGGAGGCCCTGACACCAGGAACCAAGTAGAAAGTACGATGATAATAATACCTCTCCCAATGTGCTAACTTATCCTTCCCCAGCCACAAGCACCTTGAGATGCCTCTCTGGTCCACATCTTAAGAACAGAGTGCACTTTCTTTCTGTTAGACTGGCAGAGATACAGGAGTAAAGTCAACACACAATTTTTTAAGTTCTGCTGTATTTTAAAATCTTCAGCTTAAAAAGAAAAGCTGGACAACTGCAGCATCCCCCATCCTCACATCCATCAGTGCTCCTACAACCAGGACCAGGCTGACCCTGTCTTTTCAGCACTGCCAGCTGAATGGCAGTTTTGGGGCAGTTTTCCAAGCCACTCTTCGGCGTCGGCTTTTGCAGCTAGGTGCTGAGGGAAGGGAAACACCTGGGCAGGCATTCCCAAAAGAGTTTTGTGCTCCCACAACCTCTGCCAACCCCGACTTCCAGCCCTAAAGTGAGGTGTGGACCAAACAGATGGGATGCCTTGGCCCCTCTGATCTGAAGATCTGTTTTTGAAAAAAATACCCTTTTGGAAAGCTTGTAATATATGCTTGTTCATAATGTGTTTAGAAACTAACCTCCACAATGCAGTGTCAATGTAATTTTTATTTATAGGCATAATAATAACAGGACCCACTGAAGGAGGCAACTTTTCCTTCCTAGAAAAGCAAAATTAAATGGAGAGCAGAAAAAGGCAGGAAGAGAAGTGATAATAGTCAGATAGGAAGAGTTTTGTTTGTTTTGCTTAATTACCTAGCACATCCACAGGCCAGACAAAGAGTACTTGCAGCCAAAAATTGATTTTTAGCTTGCTTCTACTAGATCATCTTTCATCTGCTGCTGAATCTGAGCACGTAATCCATATTTACCACAGATAATCACTTGTCAGATGTCTGGAGTTACTGAAAATGGAGATGGCTTAACCTACAGACGCTCCCCCGTAGCAAGAAAAATTACTTTTTTTGAAGGAGGTTCTGGGCACATTCAGGAGGAATGGAAGACAGGTTAGCAAAATACCTGACCAATGATTCCTGTGTGCAGGAACTTTCTGACTCTGGTCAAGGAACTGAGAGGAAGGACAATACTAAGCACAACTTAATGTGAATTAACAGCATTTGAATGAAAAATCTGGGAGAAATTAGGGAGAGCATCCAGTGACCTGCTGAAACTATGCAGTCAAGAAGAACTATGGTTTGCAATAGCAATGTATTAATAAATAACAGCAGATATAAATAAGAGGAGCTAAAACCAAAACAGAACAAAACACAGTTCAGCAGCAGCAAACTAATGCTCTTACAGCCATATGCATTTTTATCTTTTTGTGCAGCATTACAATCCACTTTCCTCGTACGGCAGCAACTAATAGCGTCTATGAACCTTAAAATTATTCTCCTTCAGCACACCGTGTTCAGAACTACCTACTGACATGACAGTCTCAGTAATCTGGTTTGGCAAAGCTCACTAAGGAAGCAAAGCGTAGTCTCTACTTTACCAACTCCAGCAAAATGAAGTTGGAACCTAAAGTTGTGCTCTTGGAAAACTGGCCAACATGCTGCTGTTGCTCCAAGCTGAACCCCATTACCGCTTTAGATATTAAATAGTCATTATACTGACAAGGCACTATTTTTCTTATGAGGTTGTTCCAGATGTGCAGAAAATAGCTTTCATTATGGTGACATTCTTTGGTCTGGATGCTGCTCTTATTTATGATCTACTGTCTGGTAGATATAAGAGCAAATTGGTCCACTGGGTTTCTGTGTAGTTAATTACTAAATTTCCCACTAAACCAGGGATTCTTTGAACATACGTATGGAATAATATTTAATTCTATGTCTCACTAGATTCCTCATATCTGAAACATCTCAACTCAAACATTTTACATGGTTTTCTGACATTTCACTTCGTCTCAAAAGGTGATGCACGTACAGTTAACTTGTATTTACTAAAAATGTTGTCTTACTCCTGTTTCTAGAACAAAGCTGAAATGCATTAACAAGTTATACTTGGAACAGTTCTTCCTCTTCTCTTTCATTTGCACAGCACTTACTGCAAAGCCCCAAGTATCTGATCAGAATGCTCTTAATATAAATATGATCACCGTTAATAGCAATACTCATCTACACGATGCAACAATATGAAGCGAAGACAGACTATTCAAAAGACTTTTCTGAATGTTAACTTTCTATTTAGCCAGGCTTGCAGAGTAAACTGTAGCACGCCATATGTCTTGGTGCTAATTGCTAATTTCTTTTCATCATTGTTTTACCCAATATGAAAATGATTTTTCCTGCAGGTTTTTGCAAGGATATGTTAATGTATCTAATTTTGTATTTTAATAGAATTTCACAAGCCAGTAGGCCTGATACATATCAGTAATTGCTGCTAAAATGGGTGTAAATTGTCGTGATCAAATCATGAGTGTAAACAATTTTTTAATTAGACTGCTTGAAACTTGCGGTAACCAGATAATGATTATGCTAGTCATCAGACAGAGGCAGCACATTTAGCAATTTATCCCTCTGTGTTTCTGTTCTACTTCTCTTCACGTTAATGCAAAGCAAACATACATGTCAAGGCTCACACATATGACCACTTCCTAACACACAAAGACTGTACTTGGCACTGTCTTTCTGCAAAGACTGCTGCTTAGACCAAACCATCAAATATGATATTCCACTTTTACAGCCAGGGAAACTGCACTGGACGCTGTGACAGATGGTCTCCATTTCATTTGTGGGTTCTCTGCTGTTTGTTACGCTTCTTTAAGGAGTAACTAGGTCAGAATTTCTGTGCTGGAATAAAGGGAAAATAGCTTCTTCTGTTAAATACTACTTCAGCACGTTTGGGAGAGAAGAGGTTTCCAGCATCACCGGGTGAAGATTATTTAGGAGCTTCCTAAAACTGAACCTTTCTGCAGAAAAAATGACCCCATCTGCATCCCTGCACTGGCTTTATTGTTCAAAGCACATTTTAGTTTTCCTTGGAAACCACCTCCTGACAAGTACTTTTTGGTCCCTCTCACCTTGGAAAATATTGGCCTGGATTTTTATAATACGATACTTTTCTCTCTTTCTTATAGGCTTTCTATAAACAGCAAAGTAGCTTACCATGCAATTAAGAAGCGAGTACTGCCAGGGGTATCACTAACTTCTAGGTTAGCAGGCACTGAAATGGGTGGGACAATACATCTCCTTTCGCTACCAGCAAAATCTTGCATGTGTCTCCTGCTCATACGCAGGCTGTGAAGGCTCTACTCACAACCTTCCACGCAGGAGCAAGGAACGACAACTTGGGTCGCTGGAAGGCAACTGAGAGTCTACTGAGCTTAGAGCTCCGATGTCCTCTGCTGCCTGCACCACGGTAACAGGCACTCCTGCAAGGAGGGATATGAGGGGTGATGCCTCCTGAAATAAATACTCATGTTAAGGTAAAATTCTCCAAGTAGAAGGGATCAATTTGAGGGATTATGTCATTTGGTTACAAATTTGTTCCTTCTTTGGAGTCACTAGAAGTTTCCAGGACTACATCGATGTATGTCTACGGTCTTTGGGACATTCATCTCCTGACCAGAAAAACTGTGTGCACAATGACCGTGCCCAATTACTATTTATAGTCATTACACAAGTTCTATTTTGTGATCAGTTTTTCGTTTATATTGAAGAATACTATCACCTTAAATGGCAAACACATCTAGTTTGGCAAAATATTTTAAAACAGTTTAATACCCACACAAATAATCTTTCATATGCTATGAAAGGGAAATACTGCTACTGTTTACCTAGTTGTACGGGGTCACAACTCACTTACTCAGTAAATAACCGTAACAAAAGCAATTACAGTTTAGAATGCCAGTAAATGCCATCTCTTACAATTCACTTACAAAAGCAGACTTACTAAGAATTGTCAATGACCCTTCATCGATATTTTTAAAGAATATGTTTATGTTGCTTCTTAGCCAACCTTGCCAATGATTGTCCTTTAAAAATAATTATATACATTTTTATTTGGATTCTGTATAGACACAAAAATCACAGAATTCATCTCAACTGCAATGTATATTCATCTAAAAGACACACGCAACTGATAAATGACCCACTAATAATGTACTTGCTAATTCTCTCTTTCAGACTGGATATTGTAAGCATTTTAAGACACTAAGAGGTATAATTAGTTGCAGGAACAACTAAAGACTAATTACCAGTATGGAGGGAAAAAGAAGAAAATCAAATGCTTTACTATAATTAGGTTCATTTGTTCCACTTGGAGAGGAAAAATCCACACTATTCTGGAAAACAGTGCAATTTGATTAACATGATTTTCTTGACATTACTAGAGTCAGGAAATGAAGTCACAACTGATAGTTTATTTAAAAAAGAAAGAAATTTTATAGTCCTCTTTATGTAAAGGTCAACTACACTCAACTAACGTTCCAATGTACTGTGCTTTCTAGAAACAGATTTTTCTTCATTTCCACTTAATGCTACACATAATTGAAAGGACAAGAGATGCTAATTTGATCTTACTAAATGTCACACACCGAAGAGCAAATGAGAACTAAAGCAGGTACATTTCTGATGCACACACCTTTTCAAGTCCCTACATTAATCAGTGTCAGGAGATTTCCAAGTATTTTGTTTCACAGGTCTTGCAATCAATGAAACATTTAGTCTCCAACAACTGGCCCATTACACCTCATTACAGCACGGAAAAGTTAAAAACAATTCTTAATGACCAGGTCACATTCAAGAGCACTGGCTGACTAACAACTGCATAAAACCAGAGCTGAATCTTTACAAAAAGGCCATTAAAGCTATCAGGGTACGAATGTGACTGACTGACAATTTTTTTTTAAAAGAAATTGCTCATCTTGCTGTTTGTGAAAACGCTTCAACGGCATTTTCCCGCTAACTCTAAACATCAGTACGCAGTGTTACAATAACCAAACTGCATGCTCAGATTCACTGAAGAAGGGAAAATTGTGTAAGAACATGACAGAGGTCAGTTTTGAGTTATCCATGTTTATGCCACAGCGTCTTCCCCCAAATCAAGTTCTAACTCTTGACTCAATAGGGGGGACACCAGGGAACCTTCCTACAGCCCTTTCAAATGATAGAAGACTCCAACACATCCTTCTAGATCATTTAGTCGGTGTCATTTTTTCACCAGAGCACTGGCTTCCTAGAGAGGTGGTCGATGCCCCAAGCCTGTCCAGTGTTTAAGAGGTATTTGGACAATGCCCCTAATAAAATAATGTGCTTTAGCTTTTGGTCAGCCCTGAATTGGTCAGGCAGTGGGACTAGATGAACATTGTAGGTCCCTTCCAATTGAAATACTCTATTGTATTTAATAATTCCATTAGATGCCCACAGTTTGCCTGCATTAGCCTGTTAAAGCACTGCACAATTAAATAGAGGACAGTGACGCTCAAAGAACCGTGTTCCAGTATTTTTCACAAGCATACACGAGTGAGTAACCCCTCGGTCACGATGGGGTTTATTTTATGGGAATGATCTGAGAGGACTCCTACCTCTGTAACTAACTGCCATTTCTACCAGCTCATGCGTGGGCTGTCATGTTCGTTAGCAATGATAGCTCTCCTGAATGTACAGAACTTCGCCACTGTATCTTTCAGGAACATCTCTCATGGTGATCGATGCACACAATGGGGAGCAAAAAGGGACTGTCAGATAGGGAACAAATAAATAGATCTTATTGCCAAGACCTGCCAGCTCCAACTGTTCTCAAGCACAGCACCCAGCACAGACAACAGTGCACCCATTCTGCTCCTCTGCTGTGCCCACGCTGCTATGCACTTCATCAGCCGGAGGGCTCAGGGCTACAGCTCATTTCAGGTATTATCTGAATTAATTGCTATGAACCCAGCCACCAAAGGAAGCCGTTTCATGCAAGGACACTGTTCAAGGAGGAGACAGTGCAATGAATGACAGAATCACAGAATCACTATGTTGGAAAGGACCTTCAAGATCATCAAGTCCAACCATTAATTCAGCGCCACCATGTCGCCTAAACCATGTTTTGAAGTGCCACATCCAAATGTTTTTTCAACACTTCCAGAGATGGCGACTC